AGGAGATAGTAGCAAAAGAGGTGCCTGAACTCTTAATGCTGATTCCCCAAGGGCTGGGTTTGTAAGGAGAGGAGGACATGATCATCTTATTTCTCTCCTCACCTCTAATGCTGAGGAGTCGTGAAAATCAGAAATGTCCTAGCAAGGAATTGTTTAAATTCTTCAGTAAGAATGGAACAGTCTAGTCCAGCCCTTGACATCCTATGAAGAGACACTGAGTCATAACCAGGGTTCAAGTTTCAGGGAAGTGGGTGCATTCCTGGAGCCTGCCCTGTGCACAGGCATGTGTGCACACACAGGAACAACCAGGCCCCTGTGTGTCCCTGCAGATGCTTACACTTACCTCGCCCGCCTCCTCCTGCCCATAGTGGTATCGCTCCACACCGGCCCCTGCCCAGAAGCAGGTGCGTCATTGTACCTGCCAGGTCCTGCCGCACATTGACAGCCCTCCTAAGGTGTCCTGGGCACCTGGAGAAGGTGTGGGCTGAGCCTGCTCATTCACACAAACACCTCTGGGCTCCAGGGTCCAATCAATACACTTCCCCACCCTCAGGCCCCATTTGTATTTAGTCTCTTCCAGAAAGATCTATGGCCCCCTCCTCATTACAACATGTTTTTCATCAACAAACACTTATGGGAGCCTGCTCCAGGCCAGGCGCCCAAGACACCCAGGTGCTTCCAGGCTTGTGGGGAAGACAGGCACAGGTGTGGTGGCCCCAGGGCGCAGAAGGGGCACCAGGGCCATTGGGCAAGGGCTCATCCTGGAGGAGGCAGTATCAGAGCCAAGTTAGGGAAGGGCAGGGCAGCAAGTGTCCAGTGGGGGGGACAGGTGGCCATAGTCAAGGAGGATGTGGTAAGAAGGGCTTCGGGGAGTGCAGGCCAGGGAGACAAGGGGGGTGTAGGGGAAAAAGGTAAGGGGTGTCCCTTCCCACACGTGCAGGGCCCCCAGGAAGGGAGGCCTTCTGGGGAGGAGCTGAGAGGGGGGTTCTAGTACCACCATGCCCCTGTCTCTGGCCCCTCTGCCCAGGGAAGCAGGAATGGGGGTGGGCACTGATGGTAATCCCCCTCCTCCGGTCCATCGTCTCCCTTTCAGTGAGCCCTGGGGTATTGTTCTGCCTTTGTAAAGACGGAGATCGAGTGACAAAGCCGAGTGGGTGGGCAGGCGGCCCAAGAGGCCTCTTCTCTCCAGGCAGCATCTGCATGGGGGAGGGGTCCTTCCACACACCCCCACCTCTGGCTTCCCGGGAGCAGCTGTTGCCATGGTGACAGACCTGGCATCCCCCAGCTCCTGGGGCGCCCTCCCCACTGCCACTGATGGAGGAAGGGCCCCCAGACTCCTCTTTGCCCTGTGGGGGGGCAGGGGCACCAAAAGCCAGGATTCCCAGGCCCAGTGCTCCTGGCGGTGCGCCTCCACTGTCCTCAGCCTCCCCACCTGGCTGCCAACAGAGCGGCTCCTCTGCAGCCCCCACCTCCTACAGACGCCCTGACTGTGGGGCCCACTATCATTCATGCACCTATGTGTCCTGGGGGCCAGACACACAGAGAAATAAACTGTCCCCATAGTCCTTGAGCAGCTGCTGGCATTGGGGTGGAGGGAGGGCCAACAGTTCGTGAGCGCACAGTGAGGGGACAGGGGGTGACAAGGACTCTGGGCCCCCAGAGCAGAGCCTCCAGCCCCATCCAGGAGAGCTGGGGGACTGCCCCTAAGAGGTGATGCTGGGGGCCAGTGTGCCCAGCAGAGCAGAAGAGTTTGAGGCATGATGGGGGGATGTGCCTGGTGCGTCCCCCAGGGGGTACAGGAGAGTGATGGCAGGAGATGTGGAGGTGGGTTGGGGGCCACGCCTGGAAGGTCTTCTGCTGTTCATGCCAGGAACATGAGCTTCACCCTGGGCAATGGGAAGCTGCTGCTGGCATTTTGGGAAACTGTTATCCTTGACCAGGTGATCAATGCCAGGTCCTTTTTTGCAAGGTACCCTACCTTCTAGGAAAGTTCTGGATCTTGCAGCCGTCCCTCTCGTGGCTCAGGTGAGCTGAGTGTGGACTGTGCACTGGCCACAGGGCTGCATGCCCCTCCACGGATGCCCCATCTTGGGGTTGGGGGGAGCCTCTCGGAGAGCATGAGGCTGGGTGCAGGCCCATGACAGAACATCCCCCTTGCCTTCTCCCTTCCCGACCTCGGCGTGGCTCTGTGGGGGGCTGAGCTTGCCATCCTGAGTCCCCACCGCATGCGAGGCTCCATGATGGGGCAGGTGCCCTTCTTCCGGTGCCGACAGGCAGCCTCATGCCAGGCGAGAGCCTGAAGGCCCACCCTGACCTTTTTGAGCTGTGTAATCTGAGCAAATATTTTGAGTTTTCTGTGCCTCAATTTCTGTTCTGTAAAATGATGCAGGACTGTTATAGGGTTAGAAAGGTCACTGTGGGAAGTGCCTGGCCCAGGACCCGAGTGGCTCGGCTCCCTGGAGGCCCTTGGTCCATCTTCTAGACCCCTTGCAGGGCAGGCCCCTCCCTCGGCACCTCGTGCTCTAAGAATCCCGAGCAGCTGCTAGGGTGTCTGGACCTGTGGAGTCTGAATCTGGGTCTTCTAGGTACCCCTTCTGGGTGTGAGGGCAGACAGGGCAGGGCCTGGGGTGGGGACACCATAGTGGCTAAGTGAGTCCCAGACCAGAGCAGGACCCCTTGGGTGGCCAGCTGGGTGGCACTCGTATTCTACCTGCCGAGCTACCTGAGAGCCATAGTGAGAACCTGGCTGGGCAGAGGCAGGAGGGCGCAGGTGCTCTGGGACTCCAGACAGCAACCCCCTCCTTGACTACCCTGGGCCTTCCCAACCTTGGGGGTGTCTGGTGGCATGGGGTGGGTACTTCAGAGGGCACAGTACCAGATCTCACTTGCTGTCAGCTGTCACTGGCAGACTAAGCCATAGCCATAGGGGTCACAGTCACTGCACTGTGCATTGGTGGTGCCATCTGTGTGAGGACAGTCCTCCTAGCTTGCCATGATTTAGGTGCTGCCCATGGAAGCACAGGAGTAACAGTCTGACGTCATTCTGATGGCTCGTCTACACGAGGAGGGCATGAGGTGAACTCCTAAGCTATCCATGGGATGTCACTATACTTGCCCCTCTGCCCTGCAGGTACAGGAAGGAGAATGCAGCTCTCCAGGGGGCTGTTCGGGTGGTGGCCACAGGCTTCCTGGCCAGAGGGGATCCCCAGCGAAAGCCCTGTACCCAGGGAGCTCAGGGGAGGGGAGGGCAGAGAGAGAGGGAGTCTGGGGTGCTAAACTGAAGACCTCCAAATACTGTACGATTTCACTTATATGTGCAATCTAAAAACAAAACAAAATTCACAGATACAGAGAACAGATTGGGAGGGGTGGGCAAAGTGGGTGATGGGGGTCAGGAGGTACAAACTTCCAGTTATAAGACAATTAAGTCCTGGGGATGTCATGTTCAACCTGGTGACTAGAGTCAATAACACTGAATTGTACATTTGAAAGTTCCTAAAAGAGTGAATCTTGGAAGTTCTGATCACAAGGGAGAAAAAAAATGTGTAACTATGTATGGTGACAGATGGTGATGAGAGATTTACATGGTGATTATTTCCCAGTGTATACAAATATTGAACCATGCTGTACACCTGAAACTAGTGTTGTATGTCAATTATACTTCGGTGTGGAAAGCCAAGTCCCGGGGGGGCCTGGCTGGCTCAGGTGGTGGGGCGGGCAACTCTTGATCTAGGCGCAGTGAGATCGAGCCCCACCTTGGGTGTAAAGATTACTCAAAACTTTTTAAAAAGTTCAAACAAAAAATCTTTAAAAAATAAGTAAATAAAAATGAAAAGCCGAGTCCTTCAACTGTGAGGGAAGCACTTCCTAAATCCCTCCCGGAGGTGTTCAGGTGGCACCGTAGAGAGCGGAGCCTCCGCACGGATAGGGCGGATAGGGCGGCACTGTGACCCTCCAACCCCACCCGGGAAAGGAGCACAGGAATCTTATGGAAGGAGCATGGAGGGGCAGCCCCGGTGGCGCAGCGGTTTAGCGCCGCCTTCAGCCCGGGGTGTGATCCTGGAGACCCGGGATGGAGTCCTAGGTCGGGCTCCATGCGTGGAGCCTGCTTCTCCCTCTGCCTGTGTCTCTGCCTCTCTCTCTCTCTCTCTCATAAATAAACAAAATATTTTTTTTAAAAAGTCAAGGTAATTTTAAAAAAAAAAAAAGAAGGGGTATGGGGGGGGGTGGCGCCCGGCTGGCTCAGTCCATCAAGCAAGAGACCCTTGACCTCGGGGCTGTGAGTTCGAGGCCCGGGTTCCCCACCTGGACTGCGGAGAAAGTCATGCGTGCAGTGTAGACGGGAAAGCCGCACTCACACAACAAATGAGTTGCTTGTTTCTCGGGATCATTTGCCTGTTTTGCAGAAAAGGAGGCTGCGGGGAAAGAGCCCAAAGACACACGCTGCAACCCGCACTGTCCCTGGGTACAAAGCCGAGGCTTCCCAACGCGTGGAGGCCTCGGAGATGGTCTGCGCCTGGGGCAAAAGAGGCGACCCGGGTCGGAGGGCAGGGAAACCTCCGGCTGTCCCGTCGGGGAGAGCCGGGCAGCACCGAGCGCACCCGCGCCCCGCGCCGCACGATCGCGCCCACGCGGGGGCCGCGGCGCGGCGGGGAGACGCGGCGCCTTTAAAGCCCGGCGGGGGGCGAGCCCGGCGCGCGGAGGGGGCCGCCCCTGGGCGTGTCCGCCCAGCGCCCCGCCCCGAGGCTTGTAGCGGCGGCCCCGGGAGGCGGCGCCCGCTCTGGCTCCGCGGCCGCTCGGGTGGCAGCGGTGGTGGCGGCTCGGCGGGCTCGGCGCCTCCTCTCCCTCGGGCGGCTTCCCTGCGCGCTGCCGGGGCGCCCGGACGCACGCGGGCGGCTCGGCGATGGCCCGCGCCCCGCGACGTGGCGGGCGGGCACGGGGGCGCCGGACGGCGCGGCCCGAGTGAGCCGCCCTCCCGCCCCGGGCCGGGGCCGCCCGGGATGGCCGTGCCGCCGCTGCGCCGGGCGCTGCTGCTGTGGCAGCTGCTGGCGGCGGGCGGCGCGGCGCTGGAGATCGGCCGCTTCGACCCGGAGCGCGGGCGCGGGCCGGCGCCCTGCCAGGCGGTGGAGATCCCCATGTGCCGCGGCATCGGCTACAACCTGACCCGCATGCCCAACCTGCTGGGCCACACGTCGCAGGGCGAGGCGGCCGCGGAGCTGGCCGAGTTCGCGCCGCTCGTGCAGTACGGCTGCCACAGCCACCTGCGCTTCTTCCTGTGCTCGCTGTACGCGCCCATGTGCACCGACCAGGTCTCGACGCCCATCCCCGCCTGCCGGCCCATGTGCGAGCAGGCGCGCCTGCGCTGCGCGCCCATCATGGAGCAGTTCAACTTCGGCTGGCCCGAGTCGCTCGACTGCGCCCGGCTGCCCACGCGCAACGACCCGCACGCGCTCTGCATGGAGGCGCCCGAGAACGCCACGGCCGGCCCCGCCGAGCCCCACAAGGGCCTGGGCATGCTGCCCGTGGCGCCCCGGCCCGCGCGGCCGCCCGGCGACCCCGCCCCGGGCCCGGGCGGCAGCGGCGGGGGCGGCACCTGCGAGAACCCAGAGAAGTTCCAGTACGTGGAGAAGAGCCGCGCGTGCGCGCCGCGCTGCGGGCCCGGCGTCGAGGTGTTCTGGTCGCGGCGCGACAAGGACTTCGCGCTCGTCTGGATGGCCGTGTGGTCGGCGCTGTGCTTCTTCTCCACGGCCTTCACAGTGCTCACCTTCCTGCTGGAGCCCCACCGCTTCCAGTACCCCGAGCGCCCCATCATCTTCCTGTCCATGTGCTACAACGTCTACTCGCTGGCCTTCCTCATCCGCGCGGCGGCGGGCGCCCAGAGCGTGGCCTGCGACCAGGAGGCGGGCGCGCTCTACGTGATCCAGGAGGGGCTGGAGAACACGGGCTGCACCCTGGTCTTCCTGTTGCTCTACTACTTCGGCATGGCCAGCTCGCTGTGGTGGGTGGTGCTGACCCTCACCTGGTTCCTGGCGGCGGGCAAGAAGTGGGGCCACGAGGCCATTGAGGCCCACGGCAGCTACTTCCACATGGCGGCCTGGGGCCTGCCGGCCCTCAAGACCATCGTGATCCTGACGCTGCGCAAGGTGGCGGGGGACGAGCTGACCGGGCTGTGCTATGTGGCCAGCATGGATGCGGCCGCGCTCACGGGCTTCGTGCTGGTGCCCCTCTCCTGCTACCTGGTGCTGGGCACCAGCTTCCTCCTGACCGGCTTCGTGGCCCTCTTCCACATCCGCAAGATCATGAAGACAGGCGGCACCAACACGGAGAAGCTGGAGAAGCTCATGGTCAAGATCGGGGTCTTCTCCATCCTCTACACGGTGCCTGCCACCTGCGTCATCGTGTGCTACGTCTATGAACGCCTCAACATGGACTTCTGGCGCCTTCGGGCCACAGAGCAGCCCTGCCTGGCAGCCACGGTGCCCGGGGGCCGGAGGGACTGCTCGCTACCGGGGGGCTCGGTGCCCACCGTGGCCGTCTTTATGCTTAAAATCTTCATGTCGCTGGTGGTGGGGATCACCAGCGGCGTCTGGGTTTGGAGCTCCAAGACTTTCCAGACCTGGCAGAGCTTGTGCCACCGCAAGATGGCAGCCGGCCGGGCCCGGGCAAAGGCCTGCCGGGCTTCCGGGGGCTATGGCCGTGGCACCCACTGCCACTACAAGGCCCCCACTGTGGTCTTGCACATGACTAAGACGGACCCTTCTCTGGAGAACCCCACGCACCTCTAGGGACACAGGCCTGCGCTGGCGGCTGTTGCCCCTCCTGCCCCCGCCCCCTCCGGAGGAGACAGCTGACTAGCAGCTGCCCAGCTGTCAAGGTCAGGCAAGTGAGTGCGAGGGGCCGAGGACCGGGGCGGGGAGACGCTCCTTCCACCCTGATTGCCTGCCGGGACCCAGTGAGGCTCACTCCCCTGTGGCCTAGTGCAGGGTGTGGGCCTGGCCAGGTCCCCCCCCCCCCGCCCCACCCCCACCGGGGTCCTGGGGAGCGCGTGGGGAGGAGGAGGGGCAGAAGGGGGCGTGGTCCAGCAGGGAGTTTATTTAATGATGTAATTTATTGTTGAGTTTCTCTGGAAGCTGTGACTGGAATAAACCCCCCCCCTCCCCGTGTGGCACCGCTGAGTCTTCTGTGGGCCGGGAAGGGGGAAAGTAGGAGGGTGAGGGCCCTGCGGGAGTCTCCCTGGTGGGCGGAGCTGGGTGGGTGCTGGCCTCATGTGCCACAGTTCTATGGCCACCCACTGGTCAGGAGGACATCCCGGTGGAGCCGCTGTTTCTGCAGAGGTCCCCAACTGCGAGGGTGCTCACGCGTGTCTGTGTGTGTGTCTCCTTTGGGCAACCTGCTTGCCTGAGTCCTGGGTTCCTGCTTCAGAGTATGGCTGGAATGCCTGCTGGGACACTCGGGAATCCCCTGGGAAGACACCTGCCGGCTTGGAGACTCCAGCCTGTTTGGGGGCTGTGAGTGGGACTTTCTTTACTTGCGTGGGAAATGAGGGCGTCGTTCTGCCTCCAAGTTTCCCTTGGAGGCTCGGGACCTGCTCCCGCTGTCTCCTGTAGGTGTGTCCTGCTGTCCCTTCTCTGGGGCCCTGAAGGCTGAGGCTGGAGTGACTGACCTCACTGCCTGCCAGGACTGCTGGCACGTCCACCTCACTCCTTGGGGTCCACATCAGGGCCCCGCACGGCCTCCCCTCATCTCTCTGGGTGGAGATGGGGCAGGACCGATCTGGGGGCATCTTGGCAGCTCAGACACAGGAGATGGGGAGCCCTGGAGTCTCGTGGGAATTGGGCCCCCAGCTCTGAAGGCTGCAGAAGGATTTGAGGTGCGGATAGCTGCTGTGAGAAATGAGGCAGGTGCAAGGGAGTGTACACGGCTGCTCCAGGGCAGCTTGCACACTCCTGTGCCAGGGGACAGAAGAGGTACATACCTGTGTGTGCGCCAGGGAAGCCCAAGGCTGCTGGGACCTATGCCATCTCTGCCCACTGGAAGGCATGCATGGCCATCCTATGGAGACTCCCATCAGCTTGGGGTGAGGGGTCAGACCCCATAGCCCCATCTTGGCCTCTTCTTTGACCACTGTGACTTCAGCCAGGTGAGGGTCTTTGACCCTGTCCCTGGGTGCAAGATACACAGAGCCAGCACTCAGTGTCACAGCCAGGAGGCCCCAAAGGTCTAGCCTTGCCTCGCAGCTGACAGGAGGCCCAAGGTCAACTGCTTCCTATCAGTAGGGATGAGTTCCAGGGTCTTCTGGGCTGGAGCCCTTTGCCCTGCACCAAGCATCAGTCTCAGCGGGGCAAGAAAGACATCCGTGACACAGGTGGTGTCAGATTCCCATCAGGACTTGCGGAGAGTTTGGGGATGTCCCTTACTATGAAGAGGGGCTCTGACCCCCATGGGACCTCTCAGCCTTGGCACCTGTGCTGTGCATTTCCTGCCTGGCATGTCCCCCCACCTAAACCTTCCCTCTCATCTGACACACGAGGGCCCCTGGCCTTTCTGAACCAGACAAGCCAAGTGACCCTGACACCCCATGAGGTCCCTTGACTGAGAGACTGTGCTTCTGGAAGGTGACAGGGGCCTGGGCTGGGAGGGTGGAGACAGATCAGGTCCACAAGCCTGAGGGGAGCCAAGCTGAAGCTGCTGAGGGCCTGCGCCAGGGCAGGGGTGGTGGGAGCAAAAGGAGAGGATTCTGGAGACCTGGAGACTGGAGAGGAGAAAGGCAAGTGACATGTATGGGCAAAGGGTGGAGGGGTGCTGAGCATCAGGAGTGGTACCGGTTTACCCCTGTCCCTGGGCAGTCAGCAGCCCAGGAGGGGTGGTGCTCAGCTAAGCACCACCCAGCAGAAACAAGATTTGGGCTTCCAGAACAACCTGGAGGGGAGAGGTGGGAGGGTGAGGGGCTCTGACAGCAGCCTCTGGGCACCGGGGGCCACGGGAAAAGACCCAGACCCTGGAGGAGAAATAAGAAGGCAGCATTAGAGACCTTTTACAGAAGGCTTCCATTTGAGACTTATGTCCCCATTTTACAGACTGGGAAGTATGGGGAGCTTGGAGATCACACAGCCATGCAGCCTTTGGCTTCTAGAGCACATCCATGTGACTTCCAGCACATCATGGATTCATGGGGAGCAGCAGGTGTTAGAACCTAGGGCAGTTTTGTCCGAGAAACCCCTCCCACAGCGCCCCCCCCCCCTTCAGCCTCCAAAAGGAAATTCCAGAACCCAAGAGAAGTGGCTCAGAAACCAACATCTGCTGGCCTGTGCACAGGGTGCCCCAGCCCCTCCCCGCCGTGGCCCTAGCAGCCCAATAAGCAGATCTCAGGACAGCACACGTCCATGTGGGCTCAGCCCGGCCTGCCAGCTGAGCTTGTGCGTGGGAGGCGGGAAGTAAGGGAACTTCTTAGCCCTGACCTTGGTATTAGTTCCGAGGAAATGGTTCAAAGTTCCCAGGAGTCAGCAGTGGTGATCTTGACCAAGGTCAGACTGAAGAGGTCCCAAGGGGTCAGGAGGTCTCTCACTGCCTGCTCTGAGCCCCATTCCGGCTGAAGGCTTGGGGAGTCAAGGAAGCCGTACCCTCTCTTCAGCCTGGCTTGTTTCTTACTGTCCTGCTCGAAGAACCCTGGCTCCCCAGCAATCCAGACTCCACTTTGCTGCACCCCTGACCAATTTCCGCAGCCTCCGCAGAGACTGGGTCTGAGAAGGCAGCGCAGGAAGGACGAGGGGGAGGGTTCCGATGAATCCCAGGAGCAATGCCTCACTCCCCTGTCCTCAAGAAGTAGTTCTCATGTCTTCATTTGCAATTGTCAGCCACTCAGGAGGCTCCCAGCCACTCACACCCCTGGCAGGGGGACCCGGCTAATGGTTTAACAGGACCAGGGTATGCACCCTAGATGAGGGGACATGACTTCACGGACATGGCCGGGCCCTGGAGTCCAGTGGTGACTGTGTAGAAAATGCTTGGGAGGCCGCACAGCTCCCTTCCCCAGAGCTGGACTACTGGCTGCACTGGAGCTGACCTTGGGGCAAGCGGCTTCCTCCCCTGGAGGAAGAAAATCCCCCAGTGCTCAGAGCAGGCCTGGATGGAGGCCCTCGCTCAGCAAGGCCAGTTCCACTTCTCGGTAAATGGGACCGGACCACACAGCGAGGTCTGCAAAATCTTTGAATTCTGTAAGCAGGTTGCCACATAGCAGTGACCTACTCAAATCAACCACTCTGACTTTAAAAAGTCCCAGCTTAAAAAATAAATGAAGACATAAATAAGACTGGCTATGTGGTAGAACTGTTGAAGCAGACAGAGTACATGGGAATTGATTATATTTTCACTGTTTGTCTAAGATGTCTGAAATTTTCCTGTTTTAAAATGTCAGGAGTTGCCCCAAAATTAAGTCCTTAAGCACTACACAAGTTCCTACAGCAAAGCCCTTAAAATATTTTTCCTGAAGTTCTAAAATTCTAATGAAAATGGGGGGGGGGGGGGGCCGCACAGCTAGAGAGAAGGCTAGGAAAAGCTTGGAGGTCTTGCTTCGCTTACCCTGGGCATCAGAAATCTCTGCGGGAAGCACAGAAATGCAGCAGAGTGACCTGTGCTTAGAAAGCCAGTCAGGGATCCTCTTGTTCCTGAAGGAGAACTGCCACCAAGAGTCAGTGGGACCAGCACCTGAGACTCTGCACAATCCACTCCCACACCCAAGAGGACAAAGAAAGATTCAGCAGAACTGTTTCTTCTTTATAAACACAAGTACATAATGTTTATTTCAAATTCCAATTTATTACAAGTTTACCCTTTAATGGGGCCCTTCCTCCTTAAAGACAATTAAAAAAAAAAAACAAACAACAAACAATTCAGGTGTCACTGAAGTGGGAACACAGGATTCTCACTGTGAACAATAGACCGGCTCTCGGGTAAAAAGGCAGGGCAAGGTGTTGGTGGCTGGACTAGGGAACTGGAGCGTCAGTGCTAACTCCGAAGCTGTGGGAGAAGGGACAGGAAACCTATCCAGCAACCACTGGAGCAAATCCCCACAGTCTCCGGGAAGGGCAGGCGGGGGGGAGACCGGGACCACACCTCCAAGTTCTGTAGAGGCTTTATTCTCAAGTTCTAGGAGTTGCAATCCCCTTGGTGGACAAGTTTTCCCTTAAATTAAGTTCAGAAGAGCTGAGCTGCTCACATTTTCTAAATTCAAAGCTGATAGAAAAGAAAATTAAACCCTGTTTTGCATTTTTATCAAAATCTGCCATAAAAGGGAAGGGAGACTACCAAGTTCTGCCTAACTAGAGCTACTAGCGCCAGACTCCTAGTTGAAGGGGCCAGCCGAGCCCCTCCTCCCTCTGCCCGCCCCCCTGCACTGACATGGACCCCTGTGAGAGGACCCCTGTGCAAGACTGATCAGCTTATCAATCTCACAGAGCTCAGCATCTGAGGCCAGAACAGGCTCAGGAGGAGGGAGGCGGCGGTTGGAGATGGAGGAGGCAGAAAGCTGCCAGGGCAGGCAAAGGGACATACCCTTCCCCACCAGGTCCCACTGCTTGTCCTGCTGACCCTCCAACCCTGCTTCTCTGAAGAGAGAGAATGGGCTGAGGGAGGAGACGGGGCAAAAGAAAGCAAACACGTTATCATATAAACTGTACTGTACATGTGCCAAAGCAAGATGACAGAAATATTTTACAAGATGTTCTTTATACAATATCACTGCTGAAACAAGCAACTTTTAATAACTAGAAAAGTCAATTTAAAAAAAATTAAACATTTAAATTCTTCCTGCTTTTCTTCTGCTCCCCTAAGAGCTTGTGTCTGGTATGTGGGTGGGCTGGGCTCCAACACCCCTCTGGCCAGATCCATCCAAGTAAAGGTTATATGCATGATTATAAGCAGGACTCCAGTCTCTAAGTGAAGTGCCTTAGGTTCTTTGTGTGTGTGTGTGTGGGGGGGGTTGTTTTTTTAAGTTTTTTTTTGTTTTGTTTTGTTTTTGAAGGAGTGAGGTGGGGTGGGAGAGGGGAGAGAGCTGTCACAAAGAAGGGGAAGAGTATTCAGGAATGGCTCCAGGACATGTCCCTTTACTCCGCAAAGAGCAACTCAAAAGAGCAATGATGCTGGTGAATACAGAATGCGGTATGGCACTCACTGATACCGTCACCTGAGGGAGGGGAGGGGAGAGACCGAGGACGGCTTCAAGAAACAAGACTGTGTGAGTAGAGATCATAAAAAATTAACACCGCCTCCCCAGTTGGCCTGATTACCCCTGATCCTTCCATGTAATACAGTAATTCCTCCCCTGGAGACCAGGGGCTTGGCACTGTCATGGTGGCCAAAGTGGGAGGGACCGTAGGAAAGAAGAGAATTAAGGGACGTGGGCCCTTGAGAAAGCTGTACCCTTGGCCTCTCCCTGGAAACTCTCAGCAGGGCTAAGGCCGCCTACCACCCATGGTACCTCTGGGCAGAGACCAGCCCAAGAGTAGGCTCTCCAAAGAGCTCTGCCTGCTTAGGGCCCTCTGGAGAGTTGGGCAAGGCAGCACAAGCTTGGGATGATGGGCATTTCTGGGATCCCTGTGATCTCCTCCCTTCTACATTCTTCTCCATCTTCCTCTCCCGCTGGCTCCTGCTCCCTCCCACCCTCCCCAGCTCTCTCCATTCCCCCCACCTAGGCTCCCTTACCAGGGCCCTGTCTCTATTTCTTTTGCCTTCGTCCCCTGGACTGTCCAACGGGCTCTGACTCACTGTCCCCTTCATCTTCAGCAAGCCGATCGGGAAACTTCTTGCGTTTCCTGCGGACATATGGGTGGCCAGGAAGGTGTTTATGCAACAGAGCCACCAGACACTGTTCTGTCTTCACCATGCAGTTCAGCACATGGCTGCCGCGGCAGTTGTAAAGCTCAGCATTGGTAAACACTTGCTTCATGTCGGTAAGAAACTCCTGCACAGAACGGTAGCTCCCACAGGAACATTTGTTCTGCATTGTCTGGAAGTCCATGGGCTGGGTGATGATGTCATAATAATCCTCAGCCTCATCTCTCGTCACGGGCTCCCTGTGGAGAAAAACCAAATGGAGATGAGAGCACAGGCTAGAGGACAATAGACAGAAACCTGGTTCCCAGACCACCATTCCTGGAACACCCACCCCTGTTGTGATCAGCCGGCTGGCAGGTAGAGGAGGTATGTTCACCTTGTACTGAGTGCTGTCTCTACCAGTCTGAGAAGCTAATTCCCCTGACACTCAGATATGTCCTAAAGGAAGGATCAGTGTTGTCCCTACAACCTCCATTCAGAGAGCCCCAAGCCAACTGCCTGTCTGCATGCCCTAAGCACCCACAAGGCCGGCCGGTCCTGCTCCCTGTGCTTCAGGATACAAAGCCCACCTGAAGGGCCAGCTGAAGCGGTACTTCACAATCTTGTGGAGGATATCTTCACACTTCTGCAATTCTAGGCCTTGCCTCCGAGAGCTCCGCTTGGTCTGAAGTACCTGGTGCCAAAAAAGAGACATGCTATTACAGGTCCAAGAGAAGAGTGGACAGAACAGAAAATGTTATGTATCTGTTTGTTTTTGTTTTGTTTTGTTTTTTGTTTTTTAAGAGGGACGCCTGTGTGGCTCAATGGCTGAGCATCTGCCTTTGGCTCAGATCGTGATCCTGGGTCCAGGGATCAAGTCCCACATTGGGCTCCCTGCAAGGAGCCTGCTTCTCCCTCTATGTCTCGGTCTCTGTCTCTCTCTGTGTGTCTTTCATGAATAAATAAGTAAAATCTTAAAAAAAAGAAAAAGAAAAGATTCAACCAATTTCTTGGAGCAGAGACAGTCAAAATCATCTGACATTCAAGTCAGAGAGCATGCTCAGCCAAGGGCCAGGCATCTTCCCATCAGCCCGCCAGCCTCCGGTGGAGGCTGATCAAAGCTGCAGAGGGCAGGCAGCAGTTGCCCTATTACAGTGGTCCTGCTAGAGGTCAGCCAGAGAGGCTGCTGTCACCAGGACTCCGGTGAGAGCAGATGGACCTGGGATTATGTGCACATGGTGGAGGGGAGTATAAACAAACAACTGTGGAGACCCTGAGGGGGTAACAGGGACCTCTGACAGCCATTTCTGTGGGGTTGGGGGCTCTGATGGAAGAAAAGCAAGAAGTACAATTCTCCCAGTCTCTCCTGCTGTAAGCATGTGGAAGCTAAGCAGCTGAGGAGGAAAGGGTAGGCGTCCCCTCCAGGGCGCCATTGCTGCTGTGACTCTCAGCGGTCAGAGCCCCCAGGCTCGAAGGGTTAGTTAGGGCTGGGCCAGCAAAAGGATCTCACAAAGCTCTCAAGCTCCCTAATGGTTTGCTTTATGCCCCCAAACCATTCCCAACCTCAATTCACTCTGCCAAAGTAAGTACATTTTCAAGAGCCTCTTATTGTTCTTTAAAGCTCAAGTGAAATCTGAAGTAAAACCACTAAAATTACATTGGTTGAGGAGCAGAGGGGAGGGTAATGCCCCTCCCACAACAACTGTGGGCAAAGAACCCAAAAGTGACGGAGGCTCCAACATTGCTGACATTCCCACAATGGAGACCCAGCCCCTCTGAGCCACTGGAGACACATGGATACTATTTTAAAATCCTTAACAAGTCATGGGCTGCCTATTAACTCGAGGAGATGATGTTTTCAAGCTACAGCAGGGGAATGCCGGACATAGCTGCTCCTGGGGGGCCTGCTGCCTCCGTCTGCCTACAGGCCCACCCATCTGCCGCATCAGCCTCCAAAGGGGGGGGCGGGGGGCTTCCCACCTGTTGCCTGATGGATTCCTAAGGCTGGAGCAGGGGCGGGGTGAGAAACAATGGTATAGGGAGGAAGGGAAATCACTCACCAGCTCTTCAACCTCCACGTCATCCACAGGTGGTGCCTTTGGCCGAGACTTCCTGGCGGGATGCGGCTTCTTACCTGGCCGGCGTCCCGGCCTCGCCGCAGGGGGGATGACACCCTGCTTGCCCCGGACAGTCTTTCGAGGTCTCACTGAAATAGAAAATAGAGAGTCAGAGCCGAACAACGGAGGATGAAGAGAACAATTCTATGAGATGAGACCATGTGGTCGAGCAGAGCATTGGCTCTCTCTAGTTCTAAGATGCTCTTGTTCTCTCTTGCCCTACCTGACAGGATACTTTCAAGGTAGAGAAGCAGATGAATGGATACCTTTCACCAACTGCCAAAGACCTTCTAAGAATTGTTTTGAAAGACAGTTCCTTCATAACGGCCACTCTATCCTCACGCTGTTCACAGCTACTCCCAGGAACGAGACCTCTGAAGGAGTCTGTGGTAAGCTGACACACTCAAGAGAAGAGACTATTTGGTAACAGGCCAGCCTGGAATTCCCAGAGCCTAAGCTCAGCCTGTGTGTGTCCTTACACATGAGGTAGAATCTGGTTGTAGGGGATCTCTGGGTGGCTCAGCGATTTAGCGCCGCCTTGGGCCCAGGGTGTGATCCTGGAGTCCTGGGATCGAGTCCCACGTCAGTCTCCCTGCATGGGGCCTGCTTCTCCCTCTGCCTGTGTCTCTGCCTCTCTTTCTGTGTCTCTCATGAATAAATAAAATCCTAAAAAAAAGAATCTGGTTGTAGCAGTTCTTGCCTCATAGTTTCCCAAGTAATCTTCTGCTCGCCACAGCAATCTTCTCAGAGAAAAGCTGATACCTACTCAAAGTCTTCCCTCACTGAATCCAATTCAAGGCTCACCTTGGTCCTGTCCAGGATCCCCAAAGGGAGAATAAGGAATACAAAGGCCACCAGGATGACCAGTGTCTCCAGGTTTACAACAGGTACTCGAGGTCAGGCAAACAAACAGTTATCAATATGTCCTCAAGGAGTGATGCTCCGTAAGGATTAGCTTAAAAACTTCTCCACTAAACACATTTTCCCTTGAAAGTAGGGAGGGCCATTTGGACAGATACAGGGGTATAAGGAGCCAAGGACACAAAGAATCAATAAGCAATGTTTCATATTCTACTTCTAGACCCTGATAACCCTTCATTGGCTATTTTACGGTCTCTAAGCTCAAGACCAGGCTTGGAAAAGAGAGTAAGAAACTGACACCAAGGATGAAACTCAAATTGCTAGAAACAGCCACCAACCCAGGGCCTTCAGTTACACTAGGAAACTTCTTCGGTGGCTTAAAAGGTAGAGTAGACAAAGGGCTCTCAAGTACCAATACTTCCCAGATCCTTTTGGCAGATAAGACCCTAGAAACCTGAAGAGAACAATTCTTGGAAAGACAACAGTAACTAGCAAGAGGAAAGCATCCACTTCTCTGAAAACAAACAAAATGAGTCCATGTCACAATCAGAATTTATTTCCTGACCACCTTATGTTCCAATCATACTCTCCACCTAGCAGATGAATTCTCTTCATAATCTGGAGTTATGGATAATGGAGAGATCATGCCTAATGCACAAACAAAAGGAGTCCTGTAGGAATGACAGAAATTAAAGTATTCCACGAGAGCCCTGCAGGATTGGGAAAGCAGGGACAGGTGTGCACACCCAGCATATTTTAGCAGCACCATTGCTGTAAGACAGGTCACATCAAACATCTTCTTGGACTCCTTATAACGAAGTCTGAATGTTCAGAATGCTATGATCTTGGAAACTGTACTTTCTCTTCAAAAGCTCATCAAAATCATGATCTGTGCTCTTTTCTACTAACCTAAAAGGAAAGGTATATTTTGCAAAGGAGGAGGCTGTAAAAGGCTAGACTACAGGGCTTTAGGTTTATTTTGGGGGGGGCGGGGGGGCTTTTAGGTTTAACCATGAAAATGACTCATGAAGAATGGCCATCAGAAAGTGAGAGTCAATTAGGTTAAGTGTACCAGGAGAGCCCCCCCTCCGCCCCTCATTCCCACAGGCATCTAGCGAGAAAAAGATCTGAACCTTCATGACAACCACCCTAAGCCATGACAAAACTAGTTTTCTCTTTTCAAACTTGCAAAGCTAGACCCCTGTAGACTGATGAAGAGAAAGATCACTGTGACCAAAGGAAAAATAACTTCTTTAACAGCAGCACTGCAGCAAAGGCAGTACCTCTGTACCACTGTAACAGAGGAGAGAGGGCCTAGGCCTTCCTTACCCATTGTCCCTACACACTGAGAAGCTCAAAGCAGCAGACTCGTCCTAAATACACTTGGGGCCTTGACTTCCACTAAATCTCAGACCAAATGGACCTACATAGGGCTGATATTCTTAAAACCAAGTCACCCTACTTCCCACTAGGAGGATGGTTACATGGCATCTTAAAAATCCATTCAAAACCACGGCACTTGGGATCCCTAGGTGGCGCAGCGGTTTGGCGCCTGCCTTTGGCCCAGGGCGCGATCCTGGAGACCCAGGATCGAATCCCACATCAGGCTCCCGGTGCATGGAGCCTGCTTCTCCCTCTGCCTGTGTCTCTGCCTCTCTCTCTCTCTCTCTCTCTCTCTCTCTCTCTCTATGACTATCATAAATAAATTTAAAAAATTTAAAAAAAAAAAAAAAAACACACCACAGCACTGAGGGGCACCTGGGTGGCTCAGTTGGTGAAGCATCTACCTTCGGCTTAGGTCGTGATCCCACAGTGCTGGAATCAAGTCCCACATGGAAGGGGGGGTCCCCTGCTCAGCAGGGAACCTGCTACTCCCCCTACTTATGTTCTCTCTGTCAAATAAGTAAAATCTCAAATAAATAAATAAATAAGTGAAACCACAGCAGTGGAGTCACTCCATAGCCACAACATGAGAGAGAAAGAAGATGGGTCTGATGGCGACACTGGGTGGGGGTCTACTGCCAACCAGTCTTCCCAAGTCAGCTTGGAAAACTGTGAGGTCAACTATGAGGGGAAACTGAATACTTACATCGAAGACCAGCCACCTCATAATCCTCTTCCTCCACTTCCTCCTCCTCTTCCTCCTCCTCTTCCTCACTCTCATCATCTTCACTGTCCTCAGAGGCAGACTCTTCAGTGTAATTCCTGTGGGGAGGGAAAAGCATGTAGGGAACGTGGTCCTAGGCCAAAGTGGTCTAAGAAAGGATGAAGTTCTATAAGGATCCTCTTCACAGACTGGGCAGATTCAACAACGAGGGGAGGAAACCTGAATGGAGGCCAGGACATGGGCAGCAGCATGAAAGCCTAAGCTGCAGCAGTATGCTCCCTCCACCAGGCCCCAAATGCTCTGGATAAGACACCAACAGCAACAGAAATCAAGACCAAAATTCAACCTCTCCTCACATAAGATACAAAACCCATTCCTTTTGTCTCATAAAAATCGCCCAGATAATGTAACATTTCAGATATTAAAAGCTGTTCCCAACTCTGAAGTGCACTGAAAGGATAAACACCCCAGACAGGTGTTACTCTACCTTGATGGCCCCCTTCCAGGAGCGGAACAGCTTGCAGATGACCATAACATCAAAGCAATGGTAATCCCAGCTCAGAACAGCTGGTCCAAAGCCCTGTCATTTCAGGGTAGTGTGCCTTACTTGGCTCCAAGTGCAGCTGGAGCAGAGTAAGAAATAACCGAGTAATGCTGTTAGATGGGGTCAGGATCAAACAACTCTGCCCTCTCACAGACCAAGCCAGAGCGCTGATAAGCTGCCCTCTCACAACCTCAAACTGCAATGTGGAAAACAACGGTATTACCTTGGCAAATATAAAGCATCTTCTCTTTACAAGGCCTCTATGTTTGGCCTTATTGGGATCAGAGTGAAGAACAAAGCACCACCTCTGCTCTCGGGACACTCCAATCTCATGGGAAGACACTCATATGTGAGACTAACCATGGAGGCAAGATGCACCAAAACACTTAGATTTGCACCAAAACATGGAGATTGGACACTTGGTTGGAACACAGAGGAGAAACAATTAACCTTAAGAATATAAAAGTATTTCAACAAAAAAGCAGTGAAATTTTAAGTAAGCCATAGGCGATTCCCTCAGTTCCAGGGAGAGGGAATATTCCCAGCGAGGAGGAAAGCCCAACAGGCAAGGATACCAATGAACAGTCTGTACCAAGCACACAACACAGGAATAAGGGCTCATAAAAACAGTACTATATAAGAGTCTCAAAAATCAGGCCACGGAATATGGCCTTTATTCTAGAGGCAATGGAAAGACAAAAGTTTCAGGATAGTGACATGAGATTATCTTTGCCTTACATAAACCATTCTGGCATCCCCAGCAAAGTGGGACAAATAGGAGGGGAAAGACATGAAGTAAGGAATTGAGAAGCCACCAAAGGAGCCTGGATGGGAGATGTAGGAGGGCCAACTGACAGAATGGACCATGGAGAGTGAGCAGAAGGGGACTGACTCAGAAGATGTCTGGACACAGAACTGATCATATCTGGCAAATGAATGGGTATAGAAGCAGAAGGAGAGGAAAATGTCCAAGTTGACCCCAGAGTTCTAATCGTAAAGAAGGAAGGTCATGAGTTTCGGGATTTTTAGCAGGAAGTAGTTGCAGAAGTAATTCAGAAGGGGGCAAAGTAGGGGCGCCTGGGTAGCTCAGTTGGTTAAGCGTCCGACTCTTGGTTTCCATTCAGATTGTGATCTTGAAGTTGTGGGACTGAGCCCCGTGTTGGACTGTGCTCAGTATGGAATCTGTTTCAGATTCTCTCTCCCTCTCCCTCTCATTCACACTCTCTCGCACACTTTCTCTAATAAATAAATAAAATCTTAAAGGGGGGGCAAAGTGGAAGCAAAAGGTAAAGGGATAAAGGGAGATAAACTTATTCGAGAAGAAGGTATGATCAAGAAGATACAGAACATGTCTGGCAGTGAAAACCAGAAACGTCAACATCAAACTATAATGAAATCAGAGCCCTCTGAGCTCCTACTGTAATATCTCCAACAATTAGGTTCTGTTCACAAAAGATGAACTTAAAACTCCGTAGAATCATTCAATTTGAATAACTAAAGCTTAATTATAACAACCATTTCATTTGTTTTTAAGAGAAGAAATTCTCACCTGCCACGGGAGTTGCGCCTGGCAGTAGCAGGCTGGCAAGCTGGGCACTGCCACTCACCATCTGGTACCTCGTAGAGGGCTGGCCTCAGACAAAACAGGTGGAAGGCTTTATTACATTCATCACACAAGATCAGTTTGTCATCTTCACCTGCAAGGAGATAAACTTGTAAAGCATTGTTGGGAGCACAGCAATGGTCAGCAAGCTGTAACAAAGAGCCACTCACCCTCAATTAACACCAGGGGGAAGCAAACAGTCTAGCATAGTGTAATCGTATTTTAAGAAATAGTGATTTCTGAAAAGAAACCTAGCATAGGGACGCCTGGGTGGCTCAGTGGTTGAGTGGCTGCCTTTGGCTCAGGGCATTATCCCGCGGTCCTGGGATCGAGTCCCGCATCGGGCTCCCTGCAGGGAGCCTGCTTCTCCCTCTGCCTGTAGTCTGCCTCTCTCTCTGTGTCTCTCATGAATAAATAAATAAAATCTGAAAAGAAAAGAAAAGAAAAGAAAAGAAAAGAAAAGAAAAGAAAAGAAAAGAAAAGAAAAGAAAAGAAAAAAAAAAAAGAAAAGAAAAGAAAAGAAAAGAAAAAAGAAAACACAGCACAAACTAGACTATTGGTGATTTAAGATTCAGGTCTTCTGACATATCCCTAAAACCTGCTTGGCCTAGGAGAGGACAGTTAAAACATTTACAAAGTAGCAGCAAAAAAAAAACCAACTCATGGCAAAAAAAACAACTCAGGGCACCCCCGGTGGCGCAGCGGTTTAGCGCCGCCTGCAGCCCGGGGTCTGATCCTGGAGACCCGGGATCGAGTCCCGCGTCGGGCTCCCTGCATGGAGCCTGCTTCTCCCTCTGCCTGTGTCTCTGCCTCTCAGTCTCTCTCTCTCTCTGAATAAATAAATTAAAAAAAAATTGCTTATTAAAAAACAAACAAAAAAAAACTCATAGCAGGAAAGGTCACTACTCCTCTCCCACTAAAAAACGAATCCCCCATGAAGTATTACATTTCCTGCCCATCCTTTTCCTCAATCCCCAATGCTTCCCAACTCATATCTGATATAGTTCTCTTAAGAGATTTGGTATCAAAAATGTACAGAACTGACCCGACATGGTCACTTCCCTCTCCAACCTTCATTCTGAAACAGTGTTTAGAGCAACTGATAGATTTTTCACAGGTCTTTCCATCCTTGGGGATTAAATCCTAACCTACTTCACAAAATCACTTGAGCCAATGAGAAGTCAATCGCTTGAGTGCCATTAGTCATGATGTTCCTTTTACACAGCCTCTGAAAGCTGTGACCATTAAAGATTCTCAAATGCCTTGCTCTGTAGGACTCAGTGGCAGTGGGCACAAACTGGAGTATTCTTCCCAGTGTTAATACTGCCCTCTGCTGGTAGACCTCTTACTTCACGGATGACTTAAAAACTCCAGTGATTAAAAAAAAAAAAACAAAAAACAAGACTCCAGCGATGATAAAAACAGATGTAAAATTTTAGGTTAATTTTGTTCCCTGTAGAAAATTTAAACATTGGAGAGATAAACTGCTCTTATACTAAAAAATGAAGAACAAAGGGCTTACTTTGATTTACTGTCCTGTTATTTCAAAGAGTAGCATTTTACGGACTTCCAGAAGAAGGTAGCCCCACTACACTTCAAAGTTGTGTGCACAGACTTCTTCAGGGGAGAAAATATCTTTGGAATGGAAGTCCTAGTCCCTATTACACTCAGATAAGCAACACTGATCTATATATACCTTTCTTTCGACAGACTTTGCATCGAGCATTTTCTGCTGACATATCCCACTTGATACAGGCATCAAGCATCCCAAGTAGAACGTGCATTCTGGAAAAAGTCTGAGCTTCACGGATTGCTGTCTTCCATTTTTCCAGAGCAGATGCAACCTAAACAGAGACAAAACCAGGTCAGCATTACTACAATGACCTCAACCATATGAGGTCATTCATATGAGGTATGAAAAATGTAGATTTTTCACACAACACTGACAGAGTATGCACTTAGAGCACCAGAAACAGGGGAAGAGGTGACAGGATTCTGAGTATATTTATATCCTAGAGCTTCTTACCCATTTATTTTACAGAAGAAATCAAGGCTCTGAAGAGTGAAAAACCTTGCCAAAGACTACACAAAGAATTAAGTCGGGGTGGTGGGTGATCAGAGACCCATCTCTTCTAGTAAAATCCACTTAAAGAGTCCATATCATTTAAAAGCAGAAACACTTGTGTAAATGCTAGTGTGCAACCATGTCCTGAGCTAACACAACTTTGGTTAACAAGATGTTCAGTTTCTGCATTATGTGCCACAATCCCAGATTACAGGGCCTGGAAATTACAGTAAATACTATCTATAAAGCGTTCTACAACACTTAAAAATATTAAATACTGATATGAAGCATTTCTCTTGACTTTATCACCAACTTCTAACTAAGT